TTGTTGGGGAAGGCCGTGTGTAGTGGGGCAGCCACCCCCCCCCCAAAAAAAAAAAAGGGGGAAAAGGGTGCCACTGAACAATTGAGAGATAAAAAAAGAAGTGCCAGAGAGCAACGGGAAAGAACCAATCGAACACGTGACGACTGCCGCTGAAGGAACGCCACCTTGGCGATGCATTTCGCGGCTCTCTCTAGCTCTAACCCTCTCTTGCCAGATTCTGTCACAGCGGGGCACATCCCCAGAGAAGCGAGAATGCTTTGTCCCTGCCTGGAGGCCGGGCCTGTGGAATCTGCCTTCTACCCTTCTAGTGTCACTTTTCGTCAACTTGTCTCCGCGAACAAGGAATCCTATTCGTAGTTCGGATTCCCCCTGAACATTAGCAACCTATTCAGCTCAAAGCCCAGCGTCCACGGGATCTCCACCTGCTTTCCTCACCGAGATGATGGTCCCTTGCAGCTGCTTGGACACTTTTGGTGCGTCATGGCTGGCCATCCTAGTCAACCGTTCTGCGTCTACCTTCTCAAGTTCGCTCTCCGAACATCACGACGCCACGTGCTTTTTCAAACGGCTGGACTGGAGTTCCTTGAGCCCACGAATTTAGAGCCAGCTGCCACACGAATTCTGGGCACCACCCCGCTTGAGTGGCAACGGCCGCGCGCGGCGCCGCGGCTCTGGTGGCTTGGATGACACCACAAGGGCATAAGAACGTGATCCCTGGCCCCTGGGATGGAAGGATACCAAGGGAAAGAAAATGAAAGAAGGCTTCGGACCCTTGAGGCTTGGAGCAACCTCGGTCTTGAGGCCTCTTGGAGCAAACTCCAACGATATGCCTCTTGCACACGTCGCTCGTGGCTCAAGCCGTCGAGCTGCTTTGAGGGCACCAGCCACTGAATGCCAGTTATCACAATCCATCACCATCAGTTCTGGCAGTGCCGGGGTATCCGTGCGCATAACTACGCTGGGAACCCTGGAGCAAGGAGAATCGAGTTGCAAGGGGCAATCAAGTGGACTTGGTTGACGTTGGAAGGGGAGCAACATTTTAAATTTTAGCAGTTTAGTGGGCACTTCCCACTAAACCACAATAAGCAAATGTAAAGTGCTTGCCAACAACAACCATGCGGACTGGCAATTGAGCATCTTCAGGTTTTGAGGTTTTGGCCAGCGCCACTAAACCCTGAATCCAATCCCTTTGGCTCATGCCCCCCCCCCCCTTCGCTGGCGAGACCGAGGCGCAAGAGCCACGAGCACGTGGGCGCCACGGCGCCTGTCCTGGCCATTCGCCAGCGGCTGGCGAGTTGTTCAGAAACAAACCGTCGACGGCTGGCGAGCTTTCCCCTTGGTTGCTGTTGACCTCCCTGCACAGAGTGTAATTTTTTGCGGGTTGAATGGACAACCCCTTGATTTCCCAAAAAGTTAAAGTCTAAAGATCCACGCCAATAGCAATCGAGCCCCGTTCTCTCAGCACACCTCCAGGAAGCACTCGGTGAATTCCATCGCTACGGGAGCCGCGGAGCCGCGGCACTACACCTGGAGCCCCTGGCCCTGCGATGCCGGGCATAAGCTGAGCCCTGCAAATCCCAAGGCGGAAGCCTTCCGGCAGAACTGGCCAGGGAAACGAAGAAGATTCCCTGTAGGCACCGAAGATTCCCGGTAGCTTTGAGTCAGCCAGTAACTTCTGGTGCAGACACTTACACTGGGCTCACCAAAATGAACATTATCATGCTGGTTTGTGCAGGGGTTCTCAGCCCTGCTTGGGGGGGAGGGGGGCGCCTTTTCACAACCATTCGTAGACAGAGGGTTGTTTACTCAGTTGCACCTTGAAATCGAAGGTTGGGGCCCTGACATGGACACGAATTGGAAAACCAAAAGGTCAAGAGGCCATTGGACAGAGTGAGCTTCATGCCCAACAAACCGGCCAGGAAGGGCATGGAGGCTTCCCAGTCACGAGATTCCTCTGAACATTTTAGCAAAAGAAGTGCCGCCTCCGACGGCAACGCAAGGGACCGAAGTCGAACGGGGTTGTGGCCATGGGGTACTTTGAAACAGTTCAAGCTGTGATCATGGTGTGTGTAATCATATAAAAAGCCCCTTATATTATCACTTGCAACCAAGGAAATGCAAAACTTCGACCTTGTGGAGGCATGACAACCTTGGTGGTCTTTGCTACAACTGCCAAGCTTCTTTTGCTGAACCCGGCAATCCGGGCTACATCTTGTTTGAAAGCCTGGCTTGGTTCGCCTCGAAAAAACATAGAGCGAGCATCAAACTTCTCAGCCAAGGATAGAAAAAAACAACTCCCAAATTCTATACACGTCCATCCCATGCAGCCTCCCTGCCACACCACGATAACATTCCAAAACCTGCGGCAAGGGTGAAAAAGGGCTAGCCGCGCTTGGTCAGTTTGAAGGGAACGCCATGGGCGGCACCCAGATAGTACACCCACCCCGAATGCTCTTGTGGACTGGACATGACATCGAGTTCCAAAAGGGAAGCTGGAACCATCGAATCCGTCCACTGACCTCAGTGTTCAGTGTTCTACCCAAAGTCACCGGTCTCTAAGAAACTGGCCAGAAACCGGGACTTGACCCAAGGGATGTTCAAGAGACTTTCCACTTGAAAGCACCCCGAAAAGTTGAACCACTGTATTTCTAGGAGTTTGCTTCCTTCCAGGGAGGGTACACTTCGGCCAGAAAAGAAGAAAGTGACCAGGGCCAAGCCCGAAGGCGGTTCGCTTGCGGTTCTGAGCGCGCGGGCTCCCGAAGCAGCTCCAACTGCTTCTCGGCCTGGGGTGGACACTGTTGGGTTGCCTTGAAGCCTTCAGAAAGGCTCCGAAAACTGCCCTGCCTTAAGTCCGAAAGCTGGGCCGTTTGCAAGTCCGAGAGCCCCTGCTTTCCACACGTCCTCTCCATCCGCAGCCCGAAAGTTTGCGAACCAGTTCCGACATCGATCTAAACAGGCGAAGGCTGGCAAACCAGTCCAGCCCGGGGGAGTCGCCCTGGAGGCGCAGTCTAGAAGACATGGGCCAAAACCCAATCCATTGTATGCAACGCTAGGGGCGGACACATCCTGAAGGCCTAGAGGTGCCTTAGTCACAAATTGACCAAGACATGAGTCGCCAAGGGGTCCACCTAAACCATGTTCAATGTGAAGAATTAAAAGCGTGGCCGCTTCTATGTCTGGTTGGGGCGGCTAACTAGTCACAGTCGGGATCACAAGACTGGCAGCTGGGGACATCCAAAAAGAAGTCACTCGAAAACTGGCTGCGAGCCATAGTGATGCGAAGGCTACTGCCCATGGTCAAGCTGCAAGCCTTGCGCCAACTGGATGTGTCTACGGAAAGTGCAACAGGGTGAAAGTAGATGGCAGTATTGAAAAGGCACACTCTTGTGAACAATCATGGAAAGCTCCTGTGTTTTCCCTTCTCAACAACATGGAAGCTCAATCTGCCACGGCGCTAATATGGACTCCCCGTAGTGCGGGATCAGCACGCTAATGCCAGGCACCTGACGAACGGACATGCGCACAGAGAGATGCCGAGCGAGAGAGAAAGCACCCTTGAGATTGTCGCCTATCTCAAGTGCCCTGAACGACTCGGAAATAAACGCTCACCGCCTTGGAAACTTGCCTAAAGATGGGTCAATACTGGAATATGGCTGTGGGAAGACCTGCGCAGTAGCCGCAGAACACGTTGCAAGACGTCAAGAGGCTTCCGAGAAAAAACAGGGAGGAAGCCCCAAAGAATGGGTTCCTCAATAGGGCCCCGTGTCTGATCCCGCATCGCATGTTCTGAGGTCTGGGCGTAAGGGGCCCGGAAAGGCACCGGCAACGGCAGACCTGAGAATTCAACACGTCGGACATTTCTTCAGTCGCCACTCGACAGGTAGGAACAAACGACCATCGGCCTTGTGGCGAAACAGCGTGCCCTCGGCTCCAAAAGGGAATCAGGGGCTTGGGGAATGAAGAAGGGGATCCCCCTTCTAAATGGAACTAGAGTGAAGGTTTCAGGGTGCCCTATGTACTGCACATGTCCCCTGAACAGCCTGGGTTCGCCTCTTCCAGAGCCAGTGAGGCACAAAGACACAAACACATTTCCGCAAACACATGCAAACACCCGTAAATGTGGTTGATCACCTGGTTGATCAATCTTGATCAAACGGATATTTAAACAGAACCAAGCCGAGCCTAAATGCATATCTGCCTGCCAGTGATTCATTAACAAGTGGACAAGCTGGTGATGCAAGCTGCGATGTCCAGCAGGAGGATCGTCCCCCCTTGTCTAAAACGTGTGGGTTTCCCACCTCCAAAAACCATGCTGCCTTCTAAAGAGCCAGTTGCCGTTTGTTCTTCTCCTTTTTGTGTGAACACCAAATCTCTTCAGGTCACTGCTCTTCGCAAGCCAGTTTTCGCGAAGGAGTCGGTGACGCTGGGCTCCGCGCCAAGTCCTCGGGCCAATGCCTTGCGTGACATTTGGCCTATAAGCCAAACATGCGACACAAAAGGGGCAAAGCCGGGCTCCATGTCTGCAGCTGCACAACTGAAGGCTCTTGGACCATCCTCACGTTGTGTTCGTGGGGTGCATGTTGGTGGGAGAGAGACTGCCACCTTTCCAACAACAGTCATGGAAGCGGACAGCAGACATTTTCAAGAGAACTTCCTGTCAGCTTCCATGATTGCTGGACACAGGGTAGCCTCCCAAGTATGGCTTGGCGCACAGACCCTCAGAAAGGGGCCTGAGCATTCCTCGTTTTGGTCGGGGGCACGTAGAAAGTCTCGGTGGAAAACAACGTCGGAACTTGGAGAAAACAACAATCTGTGGAGTTCCATTTTGGATACCTCGGGGGGCAAACTGTCTGAATATGATTGGCCCTTTTTCGCTCTCCCCCTTCAACAAAAAACGACGCCTTCCTGTCTTTGCCCGCCCACTGGCCACCGGGAAGACCAAGCTTGGCTGGTACATCAGGGGGGCTGGAGAATTAAAATCCAGATCGTGCCTAAGTATATTGCTGGTTTCAAGATCCGGCGATCTTCGCCTGCCACTTCCTCGTGATGACATGATTTGCTGGGCGGCGTCAGTTGGGGGCCTGGCTTTGGGGAGGCTGAGCTAAGACTTCCGAGCAAACTTTGAAAGGGCTTGAGCTTCGAAAAGCTGTGCCGCAAAGCACAATAACTTACCTGCCAGCGCTCTACAAATACTTGTGCTTCTCAAGGCCGGAGAGGGAACACGCAACAGGCAAACAGAGTGGGGCGAAGCTATCCCCCTCCCAGCATGGGTGAACTCGCTTGCGATATGCCCTTTGGCAGGTCAAGCTGGGTGAGTTGTGAAAAAGCCTGAAACCGGACCTGTCAGCAAGTTCTGTGACGAGGTCAAACTTTCGGAGGTCGCAATTTGGACACAATGTTTCAAAACCCACGCGCCTGCAGTCTCCACTTCGCCTCCCGATTGTGCGGCCAACCTCAGGTACGCTGCTGTTCTCCGCTTCAAGAACCCAAACAAGGTGACAAACATGTCTCCGTTTCTCCTTC